TGGGGAGCCCCCGTCCCCTAAAAAAAAAACCCCAAAAAAAAAAAAAAAAAAAAAAAAAAAAAAAAAAGACCCACCCTCCCTTTGGGGAGCTATTTTACAGGATTTGTCCCTTAGAGTGCCCGAGCAGGACCAAGTCGGGAGGAAGACATCAATGGCTCTGGGCACCACCCTCCACCTTGGCTGCTAACCTCGAGACGGGAGGATCCACATGCTGGGGGCAGCAGTGTAGGTGTTGATATCTGCGCTCATGGCGGCAAGAGTGGTGGCTGCAATGGTGGCAGGTGGGCCTTGGGGCTTCCGCTGGTACCTTCTTCGGCTGCATTTGAACATCTTAGGAAATGGGGGCTGGGGCCAGCCCATACCTGGTCTGCGGCAGGGAAAATTCATGCCCCGGGGTCGAGGGGCTTTTAGGAGCCTAGAGGGCCCCATGAGCATGTGGGCGCAGGGAGCTTCTGTACCCTGGCTGAAGGGTGCTGCTGGCCAGCACCGTCGTAGCCTCTATGACATACGAAGTCCACATGAAGGTGGGATCTTTATTACAGGTGTTGGCCTCTACCCCTCTCCACGGTCAGATTGCCTCACAATCCTCTCCCTTGGGTCCAACCCATGAGCAGACCACCCCACTTTGGCCCCTTGAGAAGATTACTCCCTCATCCACATGAACAACAATAACTCTATTTTATTTTTACTATTATTTTTTATTTAACCTTATTTATTTATTTTTAAAGAATTGTTTATTTTTAATTTTATTTATTCGTTCATTTATTTTAATTTGACCAGAGAGAGACACACAGAGAGAGAGAGAAAGTGAGAAAGTGAGCCACCAGGTCCAGGACTTGAACCATGGTCAGCCATGTGGGAATGTCCAGCACGTTAACCACTATGCCACCTGCTGGTCCCCCTACTTTCTTTTTTAATTTGACCAGAGAGGTACAAAGAGAGAGAGAGAGAGACAGAGAGAGAGAGAAGGAAAGTGAGAAAGCAAGGTGCCAGGTCTGGAACTTGAACCATGGTTGACCGCGTGGGAGTCTAGCGCCCTTAACCACCATGCCACCTGCCAGCCCCAACTCTGTTTATTAAACACTTACTACGTGCCAGACACTGTGCTGAGCACCTTACGAACATTATCTCATTTACTCTCACAACGGCCCTACAAGAAGATTCTATGGTTACCCCTATTTAAATACAGTCCATTCATTATTCCCAGTAGCTATGTTCTTTTTTTTTTTTAAGAGGTTTTAGCCATAGAACATGTGCACTCCACAGAGAGAGACAGAAGCATCTCCCCTGCCCCCGAGGGAATGGCCACACCACAATCTCTTCTCCTTTATTCTCTTCTTGGGATCTTGGTCACACACGCAAATGTGCCTGGTATGATTTTCAAGCCACCGGTTCCAGGACTCGAACTGCAGTTGGCCATGTGCGAGCCCAGCAATGTAACCACTACACCATCTGCTTGCTGGCCCCATCCAGTAGCTGTGTTCTATAAAGTCACCATGAACACTGAACTAGCTGATAATGAACCATTGTTCCCAGGGGAAATACAGGGTCAGATGCCTACAACCCTCTGGTCCCAATATTTTGTCACTGGTTTTACATGTGGGGACGCCTTATTTAATAGGTGTGTTGGGATCGTTAACATTGACCTCATGGCCAGCAACACTGTAACGTGTGCTTGAATGAAGTTATACATGAGTATTTCCTTTATAAGGGCTGTTGCAGCTTTCCTGTGCTAAGGAACTTTCCTGTGCTAAGGAACTTTCCTGTGCTAAGGAACACTAGGTACACTTGGACACTACAACAGGAGGTCACTTTGGACAGCAAAACCACTGACAAAAACCACTAAAAAGTGTGAAAGAATGTGGCACTAAAAAGCCTGCCAAAAGAACATTTGTCTTCTCTGTGAGAGCTGAAATAAGAAGGCAGCATCCCGTTGTCCAACAGACCTCAGCTGGAAACGCATCTGTTGGGCAGCTTGAATTTTCCTCCTTTCTGTTCATGTTCATGAATGACTGCAGGAGTGCCTCAAGGGTTGGTTTGGGGTTACATTTACTTTTCAGTGAGTAGGTGAGTTCCCGGCTATGAAGTCTATGGATACAATAGTGAGGATTCTCCTCTATAAGGGGATTGAGCTCAGGGAGGTCAAGTCCCTACAAGTAGCAGCAGACAGGGGTTCAAATCCACAATGGCCAAAGTCCAAAGCCCAGAGCAAGTATATTCTGCATTCATTCATTCATTCCAGAAATATTCACTAGCAACTTCACACGTGCTGGGCACCGGGAACAGAGATGAATGAGAGCTGCTCTAATTCTGGGCATGCTAGAGAAAGCCATGTGGACCACCAGCATGGGGGGAGGAATGCAGGTCCCCTGGGATGTAAGAGGTGCTAAGCTTGGGTTCATGTCCTTGCCTGTAAGAGCCAAGGGAGTCAGCGGCTCTGCCCAGCCTTGCTCTGAGTTGCTGTGGAATTTTGGACTTGCCCCTTCTTCCTCCACACCTCAGCCCTCTCCCGTTTCCCTTTTACCCCTTTTCCCAAGATCACCCTTTCCAGCCTCCACTGTCTGTCTATGCCTGCAGGAGCCTGCTAGGACAGAGGTCCCCAACTCAGTTAGAAACCAGGCCACACAGCAGGGAGTGGGTGGCGAGTGAGCTAGGGAAGCTTCGTCCATTTTTGCAGCCACTCCCCATCCCTCGGGTTAGCACCCAAGCCCCACCTTTTGTCAGATCAGCAGTGGCATTCGGCATTCGGCATTCGATTCTCCGAGGAGCTCCCAGATGGGAACGCCTAGTTTCAAGAAAACAAGCTGAGGGCTTCCACTGATTCTGCATTATGATGAGTCCTATCATTATTTTATTATATATTTCAATGTAATAATAATAGAAATAAAGTTCACAATAAATGTAAGGCACTTGAATCATCCCAAAACCAACCTCATCCCACCCCTGTCCATGGTAAAACTATCTTTCATGGAACCAGTTCCTGGTGCCAAAAGTTTGGGGCCACTGCTAGGAGACTAGGTTATGAGGCCTTAGTACCACCCCTTCAAATTCTAGCTGCTGTACCTTTAAACCCACCTACCTGCCTACTCCTGCCCCTCCTCCTCTGGTCCCAGACCAAGGCCTGCTTCCCTGTGGTTTATGGAACCAGCCCTGCCTGTCTCCATAGAGACTTCGTCAATGTAGATTGTCTGCTTAGTGGTTAAGATGTGAACATGGGAGCCAGCAGGTGGCATAGTGGTTAAGGGTGCTGTATTTCCACATGGCTGACCACAGTTTGAGTCTCGTACCTGGCAGCTTGCTTTCTCACTTTTCTTCTCTCTCTCTCTCTCTGTCCCTCTTTGGTCAAATTTAAAAATAAATAAATAAATAGAGTTAAAATAAAATAATTCTTTTTTAAAAAAAAGAAAAGTAAAGAAAAGAAAAGAAAAGATGCGAACGTGGTCCCAGACTGAAGGGTGTAGTTCTGGCTCTGCCACTTCCAAGCTGTTTGATCATAGCAAGAACGTAACCTTTCTGTGTTTCACTTCCCTACATTTGAAATGAGGATTGGGCCAGCTGGTGGCATGGTGGTTGAGGCAGCCGGATTCCACATGGCCGACTGCACTGTTTGAGTCCTCGACTGGTGGCTTGTGTGTAATGCGTGCCCAAGATCCCAGAGGAGAATGGAAAAGAGGGGACTGCGGTATGGCCAGCCCCACTGCAGGGATGATTTCTCTCTCTCTCTCTCTCTCTGGCAAATGCATGTGCTCTGTAGCAAAAACTAAAACAAATAAATAGAATGGGAATAAAAGAAAGTCCATCTCACAGGATCATTGCGCAGAGGGAAAAAAGGGGCTTAACAAATGTAAAGTACTTAAAGCACTATCTGGGGGCCGACAGGTAGCGGTGGTTAAGAGCGCTGGACTCCCACATGGCCGACTGTGGTTCAAGTCCTGGACTTGGCAGCTTTCTTTCTCACCTTCCTTCTCTCTCGCTCACTCCTTCCCTCTCTGGTCAAATTTAAATAAATAAATAAAGTTAAATAAAATCATGCTTAAAATAAAAACACGATCTGTATTATAGTGTAGTCTGTACTATTATTAGCTCCTGTCTTGTCTGTCTCTTCATTTTCTCCCACCATAAAAACAACATCTCCACCCATAACTCCTGTAGCTGTGGCCCTTTCCCTCTGACCTTCACACTCTGCTGTCATTCCTGTATGTTCCAGAGACGGGAAATAGCTATCCTGAAATGCAGACCAGGAAACAGAGGCTTAAAACCAGGTGCAGGCCCAGCTATGGTGACACGTGTCCCTGCTACTCAGGAGGCTGAAGCAGGAGAATCAAGACACACCAAGATTCTGTTTAAAATCACAAATACAGGGCCAGCAGGTGGGGTAGAGGTTAAGGCAGCCGAATCCCACATGACAATGTGGTTTGAATCCCAGACACGGTGGCTTGAAAATCATGCTGGAATGCATGTGTGCCCAAAATCCTGAAAGGAGAATGGAGGAGAAGGGATTGCCATGTGACCATTTCCCTTCAGGGGTGATTTCTCATTTTTTCTGTCTCTCTCCAGTGAGCTCACATGCCCTATAGCAAACTAAAACAAAAACAAATACAAAACCAAATCTAAGCAATGCCTCACGGTCACACAGCTAGTAAGTGACAGAACCAAGGGTCAAGAACCTGGTCCAAATGCTGCGAAGGCAGAACTCGCCCAGACCCTCTTCATTAGGAGCGCTGGAGTGGGAGGTGGGCTCTGGAGCTCCTGAAGGGCTAAAAAGATGAGGATTCCAGAACTTTAGAAGGGTGAGTCCAACGTGGGGCCATGCTGCCACCTGCTGGCAGAATGGGAAGGGTGTATCAGAGGGCTCGGAGGAGTCTGAAGAAGGGAAAAAGAGGAAAAGGTGAGGGAGAGGCCAGAGGGGGAAGGATAAGGGAGGAGAAAGATGAGGAATTGAAAGCTTTGTGCGGGAAAGAGAATGGAGAGCTATTTGCTACTCAGAGGAAAAAGCAGAAGGCACTAAACCGTGCTCATTTCCTTGGAAGTATTTCTGTGTGTGAGAGATTGAGGAAGTGTGTACCTTAGACGTTCTGTTGCTGGTAGTAGGTCACCAAGGGTTCACAGTGTGTGTGTGTGTGTGTGTGTGTGTGTGTGTGTGTGTGTGTTCCTTAAATAAAAGGAGACAGAAAGAGAGATACAGAGACAGTTACACAATGAGAGAAGGAGAAGAATACAGAGAATCATACAGACTATAGTGTTCATCTATAGTGTGTGTTGGCCTTATTCTTTCAGGGCTCTGCACATGTCAGGGAACATAGACATTGACAGTTCTGGGGTCAAAGCATTATAGCTTGCTATTCAAGGGAAAAATGCATCTTTTTTTTTTTTTTTCCTCCCAGGGACTGTAAAAAAGTCCTCAGGAGATATGTGATTGACCTGACTTATATCCTTTGGCAGCCCTGAGCCAATCGATGTGGTCACAGAGATGGGCTGTTCTCATTGGCTTCCTTGGCTCCCATGCGCATTCCTAGGTCAAAGGAGCATGCTGCTATAATTGGAAGACACAGTAGAATCATTTGCGAAAAGAGGTCTCCTCCAAAGTTGCTAAATGTAGTTCCTCACTAGAAGATAGGAGGGAGGGAGTTGGGCATTTAGAAATAGATATCTTCCAAATTCCCATTTCAGGTCAAGCTATCACCTGCAAAGGAATATCTAGCTCCCCAGAATGCACTTGTAAGTGATAATGTCAGGCTTGCATGAATGGTCCTGGTTATGTCCAGTCTTTATGTATGTGTCTAACTATGTGGACTCCCCTTTTCCTTTCTATTCTGCTTGCTTTCTCTTCTGAGTCCCTTCCCTCCCTGTTTTATCTTGTGACCCTTACTATCACTTATCTGTAGTTCTTTTTCAAAACATTTCCTTTAATCAGCCAAGTCTCCAAAAGGTAGACATAGCAATTCATGTATTCACTACTCTTGGTCAATGGTCAAATTTAAATAAATAAATAAAGTTAAATAAAATCATGCTTAAAATAAAAACACGATCTGTATTATAGTGTAGTCTGTACTATTATTAGCTCCTGTCTTGTCTGTCTCTTCATTTTCTCCCACCATAAAAACAACATCTCCACCCATAACTCCTGTAGCTGTGGCCCTTTCCCTCTGACCTTCACACTCTGCTGTCATTCCTGTATGTTCCAGAGACGGGAAATAGCTATCCTGAAATGCAGACCAGGAAACAGAGGCTTAAAACCAGGTGCAGGCCCAGCTATGGTGACACGTGTCCCTGCTACTCAGGAGGCTGAAGCAGGAGAATCAAGACACACCAAGATTCTGTTTAAAATCACAAATACAGGGCCAGCAGGTGGGGTAGAGGTTAAGGCAGCCGAATCCCACATGACAATGTGGTTTGAATCCCAGACACGGTGGCTTGAAAATCATGCTGGAATGCATGTGTGCCCAAAATCCTGAAAGGAGAATGGAGGAGAAGGGATTGCCATGTGACCATGTCCCTTCAGGGGTGATTTCTCATTTTTTCTGTCTCTCTCCAGTGAGCTCACATGCCCTATAGCAAACTAAAACAAAAACAAATACAAAACCAAATCTAAGCAATGCCTCACGGTCACACAGCTAGTAAGTGACAGAACCAAGGGTCAAGAACCTGGTCCAAATGCTGCGAAGGCAGAACTCGCCCAGACCCTCTTCATTAGGAGCGCTGGAGTGGGAGGTGGGCTCTGGAGCTCCTGAAGGGCTAAAAAGATGAGGATTCCAGAACTTTAGAAGGGTGAGTCCAACGTGGGGCCATGCTGCCACCTGCTGGCAGAATGGGAAGGGTGTATCAGAGGGCTCGGAGGAGTCTGAAGAAGGGAAAAAGAGGAAAAGGTGAGGGAGAGGCCAGAGGGGGAAGGATAAGGGAGGAGAAAGATGAGGAATTGAAAGCTTTGTGCGGGAAAGAGAATGGAGAGCTATTTGCTACTCAGAGGAAAAAGCAGAAGGCACTAAACCGTGCTCATTTCCTTGGAAGTATTTCTGTGTGTGAGAGATTGAGGAAGTGTGTACCTTAGACGTTCTGTTGCTGGTAGTAGGTCACCAAGGGTTCACAGTGTGTGTGTGTGTGTGTGTGTGTGTGTGTGTGTGTACATTCAGCCGTGCTAGAAGGTGTTTATGTAAGCAACTGTGTTTGATGTGTGAACGTATTGATAGCACTTGGGCAGGCGTGCGTGCCTGTGAACACCTAGGGTGTGTGTGAGGGAATTAGCTGATGCAGGGTAAGAAGCACGCGTGCTCTATCCTGGGGGTGGGGAGGAGCACTTGGAAGTCCTGGGGGACACTTGACCTGCTCAGACTTCTTGCCCTTCTGAGATCAGGAGGGGCGTTGCCCATGGCTGGCGTTGCCAGGCGGAGGCCTTCTGCTGCTATGGTTGTGGGGACTGATCTCCAGGCAGCAGGGGGCAGCAGGGACGAGGGGAAGCTGACCGGCCACGCCACGGGTGGGGCTTGCCGCAGGCGGGTAGAAGGAGGCCTTTAAAGGGCCTGCCCCGCCTGCAGGTGAGCGGTAGTGTGTGAGCACCAGCCTGTCCCTCTGCCAGACCACTCGGGGGCAGCTCCCTGAAGCTGTTCTGTTCCGTCTGGAGACTCAGCAGATCCGTCTTTCAGAACTTGCTGCCGAGAGCCCTAACCAGGTGATGGCACAGAATAGAGACCGTCCTGTGTAGTGAAGCCAATCTGGAAACAGGTTTGGGGAGCTGGAAGGGTCATGGGGAGGGTCCTAGAAGAGTCTGGCTGCTTTGGGGAGGGGCCCTGTGCCAGGAAAGGACATGGAGTGACCTGCAGTGTGAGAGTCAGGCGTGGGTGCCTGTGGAGGGGCCTGGGTAGCGGAGAGAGAGAGAGGGAGAGAGAGAGAGAAAGGTGTTGGGATAGGAACTGGGGAAAGTCTGGAGGGGTCAGCGTCCAGGTATCAGAGAAGCTTAGTGAGATAAGGCTTTAGGATGCCGGAATGTGGCTGCCAGGGTCCAGAAGCCGGGACCTGCTCAGGTGTGTGTGGGTGGGGAGGCGGAGAGCAAGGTTTTACCTCACACATGACTGCCCCCCAGGTGCCACCATGCAGTGCTTCAGCTTCCTTAAGACCATGATGATCCTCTTCAACTTTCTCATCTTTGTAAGTATGGAGGCTCTTTGGGGCTCCATAAAGGAGCAGGTCAGAACCCCACAGAATCTAAGCTGTGCCCGGTCTCTGTCCTGCGAATTTCCTCTTATTAGTGGGGTACAGAAGTCTCCACAAAGCTGACTCCTGATCCCAACAGCAGCTGGGCTGCCACGTAGGGTGGGAGTAGGGTGTGAAGAAAGGGGGTAGAAAAGTTTAGGGCGTTCCCTCCCTCTAGGAAATTTTAGCTCAGGCTTAAGGCGGGGTAGCATTGGCTAGCAGGAAAGATCCTACCCTTTT